TCTCGGTGGAACGAGGGAACAGAACAACAGAGACTAAGCATAAACGAACTGAACGTTGAGGGAGGAGAGAACTCAAGATGCTCGTACCGCTCTGTTTGCACACATGGCTATATATAGCTGAAGGTGGACATGAACGTTAGGGGGTTATCACCAGATTAAAGGCTCAGTTACACTGCCATAAATATTGTTTAAAAGCTTGTCTAGAAACGTTGGGGTTACACAAACGTAAAATGCATTTAACCTCCTGTCTGGAAACGCTAGGAAGACAAAACGTTTAGAAAATTAATTCGGTTAATGATCAAAAAATATTCTTGGTTTGATTTCAAACTTCAGACAGCCAAAAACTTGGTTTGATTTCAAACTTCAGACGGCCAAAAATTGAGTTTCTCTTGCAAGGCAAAAATAATTATTTATCTCTTGAATTCGCGCGCAGGGGGGTGAATCGGTTGATTTTAACTGCAATTGCCCTGAGTTGACCTATCTCATGTGCGCAAAGCCACTTTTCTTTCAAGCCCATTTTACTAGCCTACTTCGTTCCTTAGTATATATACACTAAGAGAGTCTTTCTTTTAGTCAATGTAAAACTTTAACACACACGCAACAGTTGATGGGTATCAAATATAATAAATTCATCGTGTTTTCAATATTCTTATCAAAGCATTCTAATATTCGCCGTCATCCTTTCATCATCTTTTCCTGTCCTCATAACTTCTTACTTTTCCCTAAATCTTTATTATTAGTTACAATTTCATAACATAAGTTTTGTCTTCATTCTTTTAAGACTAGCTGATTCTTTCACTTGCCTTTTTCATGATAAATTGGGATCAAAGTGGATATTTTTCATTGAATAACATGTCTTCATAATCATATACAAACAACACATTGAAATGCACAACATGAAAGATTAGAAGACAGATATTCCGTTCATAAAAAACTACTCAATGTTATGAAACAACTTTAATTTTTCTCTCACCCTTACAAGCATTCTAAACATGATGTCATCCGTCACCTTTCATGTATGCACTATATAGAAACCTCTTCAATGTTATGAAACAACATTATTCTTTCCGTTCATTCTCTCACACCTTCTTCACTCAATTGAGAAAATGAAAAAATTCTCAAAAGGCTTACGGTAAAATCCCTCATTCGATTTTAGTCTATTTGCAAACTTTGGAAAAATCTAATCAAATCTCTATCTTTCATCAAAAGACTTCCTTTGATGTATACTATGAAAATAAGAAGGGTGAATATCATTAAAGTCCCTTTCAAGGGACCTATTTGCATTAAAGGATTGAAATATTCTAAAATTACTTTGTCGACTAAGGGATCCCATTAAAAATAGGTTTGCGTGCAAAATGATAAAAATTTCCCTTGTTCATTAAATTTTTTTTCAGCCCATGACTAGTGTCACAGCCCCATCACCGATGGCAAGGTTGCCGGTAACTAGACCATCTTTGCAGCTCTAACAAAAAGTTGAAATTCAAATTTTACCAAGTTGTATCATAGGTGCTCCAATAAGTTGTGGTTTGGATTTTGACATTTTATAGTTCAGAATTTGACAAGTTATTCTTTAAATAACTTATAAAGACTTTTGCACATATAGCCCGTTTAATAAAATCAAACAAAGATAACAGCTTAGCATTTCAAATATTTTGCAATATGACCAGGTTAATATTTAAGTTAAATTGAAATGACAAAAATTTATTTTTTCTTTAAATTTAAAATCTTATTCTCATTTTCAAATTTAAAATATATTATGCCCACAAAGTTAACGGTAAAATATTTAAAAGTGTTTGAATATTGAAATAATATATGATTGTAAATGAGCAATGATTATAATCATTCAATTATGAAAATTTTGTTATTTTGTTACACAAGTTATTTTATTTGTTTTGGAGATAAAAAAGAAAAATCGCACACCAACTGATTGTAAATGAGCTGCATTCTAAAATTTTCAAAAACTTATTCCATAATTCCTGATTAATATATTTTTCACGTCCATTGCATTAATTTACTGTAATTTGTATTTCAAATGTAACAAGTTGTTATTTGACTTTAGAGCTCTAACAATAAATTGTATTCCAGATTTTAACATGTTGCAATTCATATTTTAATTTTGACTAAATACAATTCAAATTTTATTAAGTTATGTGACATTAGAACTCCATTAACAATTAGTTGTATTTTAGATTTTGACGAGTTGTTCTTTAAATACCGACAACTTATTCTTAAAATATTGACATTTCCTTGCCATGCTTCATGGGGATGTGTGTCATTTTGAGAGTATTTTCTGATTCATTTTAATATTTTTTTTCTAAAATACTTTTTATTGATATTTATTTTTTTAATCTTTTTCATACTTATCAAATGTAATTTTTATGATTTTATCTGCTATATATAGTTTTTAATATATATAATATTATTTTAAGTAATTTATTCAATATCATTCCAAAATAATCTCCCAAAATGTTTGATATTAAAAAATATAAGGTATTTTTAGTCTTTTAAAATGTAGTCATTTTCTTTTTACCAAAAGTACCCATTTGAATAAATTATTTTATATTTATATTAGAGTGAAACACCTTATTAAGTAGGAATAAATATGAAAATAGAATGTTAGTTTGAAGACAAATAATTACTTTATTGAGAGATGAGATTTGGTTAAAAAAAATTCAGACTCTCAATAAAATATATTTTTTAGCCTTTTTCCAAAATAATCATTTATTTTTGGAAGTCTATCATCATTCTTTCACCCAAAAAAAAAAAAGTTGCGTTAATCCAACCTGGTAAATTTAAGATCTTTTAAATATATTTTAAATCTTTCATAAAAAAATGTGTGCATCTGTTCCACCAAACAAATAAGTTGTAGGGAAAAAATCTTTCAAGTATGTGTTGCAGCGTTGAGGGACACCCAATAAAATGCCTCACATCCGCAAAAATAAATGATTCTTTCGAAAGAAAAAAGCTGAAAAATATATTTTATTGAGAGTTTGATTTTTTTAATTAAATTTTACCCTTAATAAAGTAATTATTTATCTTCAAACTAACATTTTATTTTTATATTTACCCCTATAAGGTATTTCATCCTAAAATAAATATAAAATAATTTATTCAATGGGGGTACTTTTGATAAAAAATAATGATTACATCTTGAAAAATTAAAAATACTTTATATTTTTTAACATTAAAACTTTTAAAAAATACTTTACATTTTTAAATGAATAAAGTATTTAAAAATGATATTGTCTCACCCCATGGGGTACTCAAACGTTGCTAGAAAGATATTGAAGGGAGAAATGAATTTTAACAGTTTAACCCTAAAATTATATATTATGATGTACATTTATGTAATGTTATGTTGTTATTGATTATGTAGTTGTTTTATAATTTTTATAACTTTTTGAAGTATATAATTATTATAATTATAATTAATAAAATAAAGTATTATTTTTGATCCATAATATATTATTTATATTATATAGATTTAATTACATGTTGGGATCTCCTTTGCAAAGAAAAAAGAAAGAAAGAAAGAAAAAAAAAATATGTTGGAAGCAAAAAAGCAACCCATCACGGATAAAACATATTGATGTTTATCATTGGGTGCAGAGCTTTAAGCAACATTCAGACTTTTTTTTTTATTAATATAAGTACATAACTTAGTCTAGAAAAGATCGAGCTTTGTACTGCAATATTTAAAAAAATGGATATGAAGTGAGTTCTAAATTTATAATGTGTAGGGAAATATTTGAAAGAGTGTAGTATTTAGATAAATAATTTTTTTTGGTAGTATAGAAGTCAATTTGCTTGTTCCATTCAAGCCAAGTTTGATCTTACGTAATTTTTAAAAAAATATTTAAAAATGGATAAAAATTTTATCAACAAAAAATATAATTATCCTCATTCAAGATATATTTTATATAAAATTAATATTAGAATGAAAAATATTAATTTTAAAAATTATATATACTTACAAACTATTCATTATTTTTATATATTATGAAGTTAAAAAAATTATTTTAAAATTTTAAAAATATTAACAAATAAAATCATAAATATATCAAATGATGATGACCGTAAAAGCAAGATGTTACGTTACATATATATATATATATATATATTGTAAGAAATATAATATTATATAATAATTATTTTTATAAAAATTTTGAAAAAATGGAAAGGATCGTATATATGCAGAAGATTCATTTTGGCAAACAAAAAACAAAAAAGATTCCCAGATCAAATTAACAAATTTTTTATTTATTATCATTTCAATATTTTCTACACCAATTTATTTTGTTCCCTCGCCTTTCATTGGACACAACACGCAATCGTTTGTCCTTTGAGACAAATTAATTCTGTCTTTAAACATTATGTTTTTCTCAGTGATGGAACCATTCGAAGGTACAAAAGCTTAAAATAAATGGGAAATTCTTTCGTTGCTTTTCTGTGATAATCAAATTAAAACACTGTGTAGTGTGTGCAGTATTTATTATATTGAGAAACAAGACATCAAGACGTGCATTCCATCTGGTTAATGAGGTCCACATTCTTCAACCTTCAAGTGATGTGGCTTCGGACTTGTCTTTAGTGAACGCTGAATCACATACTTTGAGAGTTTTAATAATTAATCAAACAAAGAGATCATGCAACAAAAAAATATTCCAAACATAGAAAACTTTCCAAAATGACTAAAAATTATATGGCCACTCAAGTATAAGGTTTTGAGTTAGAATCTGTATGAATGTAGAAAATATTGTTGAGAGGACTACCTTTAATTAAACTTGATAATACTTGAATATAACTTAATCAGATGGTTAAGTAAAAAAAAATTAAGATGATTAAACAACCTTTTAGTTTTTCTCTCAGCCCTACGTGCATTCCTAAGCATGATTTCATTTCTCACCTTTCATCTTTATAAAAGGTAACTCTTTTATCCCTTTCCCACCATCCCAACATATACCAAACAGAATTAATTTCTTCTTCACTCAAGCAACAAAATGGAAATGAAAGATGATGACAAGGATATCTTATCCCAAGATATCATCACAGAAATTCTCAAAAGGCTTCTTGTAAAATCCCTCATCCTATTTCAATCTGTTTGCAAACTTTGGAAAAATCTCATCCAAACCCCATATTTCATCACAAACCACCTCCACCACTCAGCTCACAATAATCCTTCTCTTCTCCTTGTTGATTCTTGGAACAGACCAAAATATCCACATGTACTCCTACTTGATTCCAAGATAGAAATCATTGATGTTCACAAGACACCTGTGTTCGATAATTCATCAAGGGGTGATGTCAAATTTGTTGGCTCCTGCAATGGCTTGCTTTGCCTGGCATTTGATCACTATGACAATGAATCTTTTTCTGCTATGGAACCCAGCAACTAGAGAGGTAAGACAAGTCAAATCAATGCATAATTATTGGGACATTCGCTTCTTTGGATTTGGGTTCAGTCCTTTAGTTAATGATTACAAGATAGTGACAATTGGGATGATTGAGCAAGATGCTAAAGTAAATTCATTAAGCAAAAGGTCATGGGAGGAACTAGATTATGTTATAGCAAGAGTTGGTCATATGATTCAACCAATTGTAATTGTTAATGGGACTGTGTTCTGGTTAGGGTGGGGGAACATTGGACATGGTTACATTGTAATTTCGTTTGACATTGCAATGGAAGAGTTTTCATTGATATCAATACCATTGCCATCATCTATAAGTTGTTTAGAGCTAAAGCTTATAGTGTATGAGAACAAACTTGCCTTGTTTCGTACTCCCAATATGAGGTCAAACATAGGTTCTCCTTTCATTGATTTATGGGTGATGGATCAAGAAAGTAGCAGTCCGTCTGGGAATAGTTGGTGGGGTACTTGGACTAAGAAATAATGTATCAATCCAACTTCAAAGTGATTAATTCAATCGAATGAAATAGTCTGCCATGATTATGGGCAATTGAAATATGGTGTTCCTCCAATTTTAAGACGGCGTTCTTTTACAGAACTCAATCATAACGTGAAAGTAGAAATGAAAGTGGAAGTGAAGTGAAGCATGAGTTTCTATTTTCTCCATTCAATCTTAATTCTATGTCTCCACATGATTATGAGCATGCTTTCATTTATACAGAGAGCCTTGTATCTGTCTGTAACACACACATTTGATGGACTTAATTCCTATGAAATCTTCATTTTTCACATCGCAGATTTTCACTTTGTCTCAGCACTTGTTGTGGAAATATATATCAACAATAGCATTTAATAGTTTGGTTGTATCTTGATTAAAACTGGGAAAATAAGTTGAGCATTAGCTCGTTTAGCTTGCCAATTGGTGATTTTTGGCTGGAAAATTCAAAAAAAAAAAAAGAAGAAGACTGGTCTGACCCATTTTTTATTTCCTTTTTCTCTCTCTTTCAAATTTCTTCAGTCTAGTTGTTGCATTCCAGTAGCATCCTGTCTTGCCTTTTTTCTTGCATTGTTTTTATTAATTTGGATGTTTAATTCTTGGTGATTCACAACCCCATAATGATGATGTAGAAATCTCAAGATGAAATGAGATTAAATGGTGGGGTAAAATTGATTTGGGTAAAAAGTTTAATTTGTATTGTAGTGCTCAACTGAGAAATTAATATTCAAAGCACTCAAGATTATCATCAAAAGCATTTTTTTATTATTATTTAAAATGTGGGGGAAGAGGATTCCATTTTTTTAAAAATAAAAGCAACAAAAACTTTTCAAAGAACCGGAACAACATTTTAATTCTTACCCTTTCATGCATTCCAAACATAATCTTATCCATCCTATGTCTTTTCATGCATTCCAAAAATGAATATTCAGAGCACATCAAACAATTTTGTAATTTTTAATTTCACCATTCTCGTACATAGAAACCCACACGCTCGCACACATTTTGATAAAAACACAAAATCAATTTCTTTCTCTGCTGCGTTGCCTCTCCCAGATTACAAAACGCAATCGCCCTCTTGGCTCGTTTCACTCCACCTGCCGCCACCCCTTGAATTCCAAAACCCTAATTCCCTCTTGCAAGTAGATGAAGGCGAGTGAAGGTGACAAACACTTTCTGCCAATCGAGATTATCATCAACATTCTCAAAAGGCTTCCTGCCAAATCCATCGTTCGATTTCGATGTGTGTGTAAAGATTGGAAAAATCTCTTCAAAACCCCATCTTTCATCGCCGACCATATCCACCACTCTCATCATGAGAATCCTTTTCTCCTCCTCCATGAACACAATCTTCAACAAAGGCGTTTGTCCTTACGTTTGCTCAATCATGAGATGAAAACAGTTGAAGTTTTGAGCTTGCCGCCCTCGATTGATCCCTTCGGACATGTCTACTGGGAAATCATTGGCTCCTGCAATGGCTTGCTTTGTGTCGTAGTTGATCCTGCTAGCAGTAGGTCTCCTTGTTCGCTTTGGCTGTGGAACCCGGAGATTAGAGAGGTCAGAGAAGTTCCCCAAACAACGAATGACTATTGGGACAAGTGCCAGTTTGGATTTGGGTACAGTAGCGTCCTTAGTGATCACAAGATAGTGAGATTTTGTCATAAACAGGGGCGCAGAAAAAAGGAAGACGCCATCTGGGGATATGATATTAAAGTGGAAGTATTTTCATTAAACACAAGTTCATGGAAGGAGCTAGAATCTGGAGCTTCACAGAATACAGAAATTATATTTCCAACTATCAGTGGCAGTGCTGATGGAACTATAGTTTGGTTAGGAAGACAAGATCATTGTCCTGTGGTAGTTTCTTTCACCATAGTGACGGAAGTGTTTACATTTACACCAATACCATTTGCACGTCATCATTTATATTATCGAATTTGTCTTGGTGTGTACGACAACAAATTCGTTATATTTTGGAATCGTCGTTCGTCTTGTTTAATCGATATGTGTGTGTTGGAGGAGGTTGCTAGTGAATCTGGGAAGAGTTTGTACTGTACAGAAGAAGATACCATTATATCATTTTCATTTGCTTTGAAGCCATTAAGTATTTGGAGAAATGAAATAGTGTGCTTTGATGAACGTAAGGTGGAGGGTCAACCAAGGTACTTTCTTAAGTTGTTCAATCTCACTACTAGGAAATGGAAAGAGTTCCACAACTTTTCTGCAGGTCGTGAAAGCTGGTGTTATGGTTTCAATTATAAAAGGAGCCTTGTGTCTGTCTGCAACATCCAGGTTGAATAACCTGACTTTGAAAAACCATTATTTCTATATTGTAGATATTTCCTTTATGATCTGATCTATAAAATCTTTGAAGCCCTTTAGATAGGTGGTTTGGAATGGAGAGATTCAGTACTAGTTGTTTCGAACTTTACTTTAGATTCTATCTCATCTTGTGTGTGTTCAATTATCATGGATGAATATCTAGCTACCTTATTTGTAATAGCCTAGAAAATTTTGTTTAAAACAGTGAATAAATAATAATAATTATATGAATAAATAATAGTAATAATATTAATAAATACTGAAATAAAATAAAATTTTTGGAAAGTCATGTTGAGGATATTTTTATTAATTTTGGAACATATTTAACGAGAAGGTATGGAATCTAGTGGATATAGTGTCAGCCATGTAACCATTAGGTATTGAGTTTGAAACCCCTTGATGTTTGTGGGAGAGTTTTATTTTTTTTTCCTCAAACCTTTTTTTTATTTTAATTAAAGAGGCAAGTACTAATGACTTGAAATTACAAACAAAATTGAACTCACACCTTCCACTTACAGGAAAGTTTTCATGCCACTAGGCTACAAGGCCATTGGCTTTTCCTTAAACCTTTGAAATTATAATTCTGCCCCCATCAGACAATATTTTTCTTTCGGCCTTGGCCCTCTTTTGAGCACACACGCACGCAACAGAGCCGGTGGTCAGAGAGAACAGAACAGAGTCGGTGTTGAGAGAGCCAGAAGCTTTGAATCCCTGCTCCAGCTATCACCATCCTCAGCCCTCATCACTGTCGTCGCTCATCTTGTCACCGGCGACCGCGTGAATGCCGGAATCTCCACTGCGTGTTGCACTAGTCTGCTTTGTCTAATCCTCCCTTGTTCCGCATCATTCTTCCTTCTCCATCATCTGTGTAAATGTGTAAGTGTTCCAGCCTTCCTCTCATTGCCACCGATAACCATAGAAGAATCAAGATCTCTCATTTTCGACAGTGCTATGATGTAGCACGTTGGGCTCCCTCTCCCCTGTACAACTCGTGAAGATCTCTTTCTTCCCTGCTGTGTCGTGTATGATTGAGGTGAGAAACATTGAGCTCTTCTTTCGGATAATCCTGCGCGTGAGTGTGTGATTTATTAGTTGAAATTGTAATTTTTCTTTTGGTGTTGCTGTTGCTGTCATGACTGTATAGGGAGAGGGAAATCTAATTAAGCTGAAATTTTTGCATTAAAAGCATAATGATGATATGCATGGGTCTAAGCTTTGGAGTTAAAATGATTTTTATTTTGAATAGGTTGATGTTGAAGAAATGATTGGAATGAAATTTGGATAGAAGAATCTAAACTTATGGTGCAAAAATTAGTGTCTATAAAATGTTTGATGAAGTGTTTGTTAGAGAGAGTTACTTGACTTTGAATTTCTCAGAATTTCATTAAATCTCTTGGGAGAGATAACCAACTTGGATGCTAGTATTTTGTGGCTTAAGCTTGAAATTATGTAGAAATTGGCTTATGAAGCTATTTGTAGACTCTTCGAATTTTTGGGAATTGTGTGGTTAGACATTAATTGTTGGACAAGAGATTGCATGTTAGAAAGTTTTAATTGAATGGTTGAAAATAATGCATTTAAGGCGTTTAATGCAAAGGTTAAGAGAGAATTATATCTCAAGAAGATAGATTGGTGTGGCTAAAGTAATAAAGAGGAACTTAGTGATATAAATGAGGAAAATGGAACAAACTCTGAGATATGAATTTTGGTTTTGAAATTTTAAGTAATGATAGTTAATTGGGATTATGTTAGAAGTTGAAGGAAATCATTGTAATCTAAAAGAAAGTTTATTAAAATTTTATTTATTCTTATTCTTATAGGAATGTGGAAGAAAAGGACCATGATAAGAGTTGAAGAGAGGAAATCTTTGAAAATTGGGAACCTAATAAGTAAGTGAATAGCATCTTAGTTAATTTATCAATAAAAGTTTTTGATTAAAATTATTGCATTTTTATGTATATTATTTTTGTTAACAACTATGATATATATTAGTTATTTTGTTAATTAAATTATTTTTATGTTGGAAAATTGTCAAGAGATGTTGAAGGATATTTGGACTATGATGAGCATTTGCTTTTCCTTACAAAGGATACTTTTAAGATTGATGAAATTATTTTTATCAATTTTAGTAATTTTGGTTTTCTAATAAATGCAAGTATAGACATTAGTTATGAAATTTTATTTTGGCAAGCTTTTAATGCGAGTTGGATTTTGAGATTGAAAATTGCATTTTTATAGTAATGATTTTCTCATATGTTTGAAAATGAATTTGAAGGAAGATTTTATACGGAACACTGATTGCTAACAACAATCTTGTTAGCCCTTGGCACACCATAGTTAATGATAAGTTAGTTTGATTTTCGTAAACTCTATTCTCACATTTGTTATTCGTAAGTTTCGTACTCATATTTGTTTTGTGGCTTTGGCCGCATTTGGTTAGCATTACTCTCGTGACTGTATGTTCACATTTGTTTCGTAACTCAGATTGCGTTTGGTTATTTGTCCTCATGGACTGTGTGTCTATGTTTATCTTCGTGGCATAAGTCATGTTCAGTTATTTACCTTCGTGGACTGTGTGTTCATGTTTGTTATCTGTTCGGTTAAATCCTCAAAATTTTAAATTTTTAAATTAACTGTGTATTTGAAATTTCAATGATTTTCAAGTAATCAGTGTACTACTTTGATTTACATATGGATAATGTGTTTTCTTCAAACATGATATAATGAAGCAATTTTTAGTTCACTTTCATTTTATGGTTATGATTAAGATTTATAGATTTATTAAGTTTATTATATTGAGATATCATCTTTTTTAATTATTTTGCATAATTATTTAAGTTTATTATTTTACACTTTTAAATTCTATTTTTGGGGGATGCTATTCACTGAAAAATGTGTTGGTTTCAGATTCATTAGCTAACATTGAATCTCTTGTGGATCATTGAAGGGCTAATCAATGATTGGGAAGTGGTAGAGCTATAGATTATACTACCTTTTGATGTAAAAACTTGAATTATGAAATTATATTTTTTGAACTAAATTCTAGATGCTCCACATATGCTATAGCTAGGTGCTTATTTCAATGCATATTCCATCTGCTAGCTGGAAGGAGTCGAACTCCTGAATGATATAATATTTTGTTTCAGGCAATATATTGTAAAACTTTTGGGAGATCCTATTTACAGGGAAGGTTCTGTCAAAATTTTTACAAAAATATTAAATCCTTGATTATAATAATTATTATCAAGAATGTTAAAATTTTAATATAAATCAAAATTTATTTTAGAAATGGAATGCGTTTTTGATTTGAGATTTATGGGAATGTGTGTTGTGATTTATAACTTGTGCCGGTCACTTTTTATTTTTGGGGTGCGACATTATTCAAACTTGTTAATATGTCAATTGTTTTTATTTTGTCAAAAGCCGGTTTACATTTGGTAAAAGTTGGTTATTACTAAATTTCTATAACAGAAATTAATAAAAAACTTAATTTTTTCTTGACATTATAAAAAAAAGATATGTACTTTTTTTAACCTTTAACTTTAAATAATGATACAACTATATTAAATGCATTAACGCTAATAAAAAAAGATAAAATTAAAAAAAGTAGGTTAATTATTATAAAGTGTTTCACATTTTTAAACTAAAAATTACTTTTAAAAAGTGTCCTACAAATAATTTGTATTTCTTATAAATTGACTAAAGGGAGTATATACTAATAAGTTGTATTTCTTATAAATTGTAAACAATTTGACTTATTTTTAGACTTCACGATGTATACTAAGTAGCGTCTGTATTAACATTATGTACAATTAATTAATTTTGTTTCTTAATGTGAAAAAAGTAAAATGATAACATATGTGAGAGCTTGCATGATGCAAAATTCAAAGGCCATTATTTCGGGGCACTTGTTCAACGGACGGGAACAAAAATCCAGGCTCCACCTTTGTGAACGGATCCTCTCCACCTTGATCTGGTTCTTGATTCCTTACGCTCCATCTTCACGAACGGGATTTTGGAAGGCTTGTGGGAGAGAAATGAAACGGTTAGAAGAGAGAATAGTCAACATAATCAAACCCTAACAAGGATCCTCTCCACCTTCATCTGTACATGTAATTTCACGTGGTGCGTGACAAGCCATCAAAACAGTTAACAGTCAAAAATTTTAACTTAATAGTAAACATAATCAAACCCTAATAGCAAGACGAGATTGTCTCAAATGAAAAGATATTGGGATGACATTGTGCCAAAATAATACTTGAGAATAGTAGGTGTGTCTGCCCCTAGAAATCTTTAAGGTAAATTTGTATCTTAACCCTAATAAAAATAAGATTATTTTTATGAAAAATGTTGATGTGCGTATTGAAAAATATTACGAATGAAATATTTTTCATTCGTTAAAAATATTATGAATCTATATGTTAGCATATTACAAATGAGTATTAACAATTTTTTAAGTTTGATGATATAAACTATTTTTATAAAAAAAATCTTGTTATTCATTGTATTTTTTAATTTTTACTTATGTAATTACATATATTTTAATAATTATTTATCAAAGAAAGTAAATTCTTTCAAGTTACAAAACCAAGTTTACCCCATTAAAAACTTATTTAAACTACTAAGTTTGACAAATAATTTGTGTTTCTTTATTCATAAAATATTTTCTTTGTTTTTTTTACAAAAAACTTATCAAATGTAACTTTTATAAGAATCTCTAAATCCCTCCGGAACGCAAAAACAGATGGCAATGGGAGGCGACTTACGGCTTTCCACCCTTTGAGATTATCATCAAAATGCCTATTTTTTGGGAAAATATGTCTAATGTTAAAATATTCAATCTCAAAATTTAAATTGAAAATGTTGATTTCATCTTAATTAATCATCATCCCTACAGCTCATGGGATTTGGGTCTTGTTATTATTTAAAATGCGGTGATAAAGAAGATTCCATTTTTTTTAAAAAAATAAAAGCAACAA